TGTTTTTGTAAGATTTTATTTTTCTATGTATTATTAAAATAACTTACAATTTTGTGTCCCATGTTATGCACAACCCTGTTACCATCATATTTGACCTTTTTTTTCAGTGATGAAATACCATAAATAAATAAAAAACTTAATTATGACATTACCATCATTTCAATATGTGAATGTGAACTTAAAATCTCATCTTTTTTTGTTTTAATCTTTTCATGTCATTAGTATTATAAAAGTTGAACTATGTTGCCATGATTACATCATAAATAATAGATGCAAATAGAACTAAATATATAAAAATGTATACATTTTCAGCATTCAATTAATAATAAAACTAACTAGTTTCACATCCTTTCACACAAGACTTGCAATGTCAAATTGAACTGTATGTGTGTCAACTGTTAACGTTATATGAATGTTTCCTGAATGTTTTCTAAAGGCACAATTACATCCAGTTTTTGTTTAAAAATAAAAAAAAATCAGCATTAACATTAATTTTTAAGAACAAAATTAATTACACTTAATTACATCCAAACTTAATTTAGCTGGAAATGGAAGCACAATATTTACTTGTTATACGTCTAAAACCTTATAAAAACTTTAATCTGCAAACATTTGAATTTGTCCCAGGTGAGCAAAATAATTTTGCGACTTACCGACAACCATGAGTGTGAACTCAAACCCCCTCTTCACGGACTTCCTGTACACCTGGTTGGGGAGGTTGGCGAAGCCGACATAACCCTCCAGATTCCTCTGCTGGAAGAGAACACAGCTTTACTCCACATTCCACTGATTATAGAGCAGAACGGCTCCTTCATTACTGTTATCCCTCTCAAAACAGGGCTCAAGAAGACTTCAGAGGAAAGATTTAAAGGCTATGCTAATATTACCATTAGTTACACTGGATAATGACTTAGCGACTCCTAATCTCACATGCAGGGATACCACAACAAAGGATAACATGGAATTTTGCTAATTTGAGGATAAGATCGGTTAAGCACATATGAAAGTAACACACCAAAACAGCTACAGGCCAACAAGGAGGTTGAGCGCTTTTCTAGCCCAAACACAAACTTTGGGAAACCAAGAGGCTGGGGAAGGGAGGACACATGGGATGAGGTGAAGCCCACATGCTCATTTACGTTTCGTATCAAATCCATCATGAACTCAATGTCGTCATGGAGACAGTGAATTTCGTTCCAGATCACAGCCAGCGCCTTGTCCAGCTTTAAGTCCTTCTCGAGCTCCTCCATCCCTTTCTCTCCGTCGCTTTCCATCTCTTGTAATCTCATGCTCTCAGAAGCACAGCGCTGAAGCACACGCTAGGCGAGGCAAGCACAATTGATCGCTCTGCTTTGGCTCCGCTGAGCTTCTCATGCATGGTAGGCCAATGGAAAACTAACTAATAGGGGCCATACTGATCATTTAGAGAGAGATATTTTGAATGGAGAGGGCTACAGTTATCAGGGCGACTTAACTCTTTTGGGCCTAACCACAGATATACTAAACCAATCTAAACCAAAACTAACCCAAATAGATTCTTTGGGAAACAGTTTATTTCCTATAGTTCACACAAAAATTAAAATTTTGTTAGAATTCGTAGTAAGAAAATGATTATACCAATAAATTAGAAAAATTATTGGCTGATAACATGCATCTCTAATAAAAAATGTTCAGGAATAAATAATATGATCTTCGCTGTTTTTACATTTATATTACCTTTTTCATTATATAATGCTCACTTAAAGTTAATCTTTAAACACTAATTTAATAATACTGTTAAATTGCAATCTTTAGAAAAATATATAAAAAAAAAATTTCATATTGTACATTACAACTCTGCAATGGAGATTTTAGCATTTTATTTTTCATTTAGACAAAATACACTCATTTAAACAAAACACAAAAAAGCATACTTGGAAGAAAAATCATTAGAGAGATGCATGATGCATCTGTACCATATTGGTCATCGGCAATACCGATAAATTAGAAAAATTATTGGCCAATAACCGATATGGTATCGATGCAACATGCAACTCTAATAAATCTTCAGAAAAATAGCTACAAAGTATTAACTATCCATATTGTATATTATAATGTTGCAATGCCAAAATGTAACGATTTTAGTGTTTTCTTTTTCATTTATTTAGACAAATAAATATATTTTTCATTATTTTTATACTGTACATAATAATATTGCAACGGCAACATTGTAATGTACAATATTACAAAAAAATTATGCACAACATGAAAAAACAATTTAATTATGTAAAAAGCACAAACAGCAAAACCATTTATTATTTATTGGCCATAACATAATTATCAGAAAAAATTATAATATGGTATTGGTTAAAATGTGAATATTGGTGCATCCCTAAAACTCATACAGCCTTGGAACAACATGCATGAATAAATGACAACGATTTTATTTGTGTGTGTGTGAACGATCCCTTTAAAAGACCAAAATATCAAAATGAATTTGATAAGAAACCTCTAACAGTTTATGGACACCTGCAGTGCAAAATGCAACAGCATCTTCTTCAAAACCATACTATATATTTCATACAGCAGTCTATAAATAGCCTTGCTCTCTGAACAGCTCAGGGCATTTTCCATGCTTTCACTCTTCAAGAGCTCTTACGTAACTGTAAGATTGATGTCATTGATGCCCAACATGGCAAACAACAAAACATCGGACCAAATGGGTGAATCAAATCATTGATTATCGAACCCCTTTCCATGCTACCATCCTAACTCAGACGTGCAGTGTAGAGAACGGGACAGATTGAACAATGCAGATAGCGTATGTGGGAAACAATGTGGGTGTTCACAAGCTTTCTATTCAGAATAGGTTTAACATTTGTGCAATTCATCCTTTTAAGGATGCATAACACAGCTGATATGAGGACCCTCAATATAGTGGCCCCAAAAAAGTACTTGAGTATTAAAAGTTATAAACGTATATAATATCAATTGGCATCTGCAAAGAAATGATGCTAGACTTTTTCTCAGAACCAACTTCACTTTTATGAGCTATTTTTACAATTACTCTTAACCAAATGGCCCTATTTTGATTTTAAACAGACATATGAAGTTTCCTTCAGGTTCACACGAATGGGATTGTGATATATGCTTGGTGACAGTTTTTGGCTGCTGTTCTCTCTAACCCCATTGAAATGCATCTCCACTCACTGCTCGTGCTTAGAGCCTGTCATTCTCATTTGCTCCAAATAGCTATTAACAGCCCAACTATTGCACTCCAAAAACACATCTGTATGCATCTGCAATCACAATCATCTGTCTTGAGGTCAATAGATATTCAACATATTATGTGTGCAGCCTCAAACACAATAGAATTTGGATCAAGTTTATGGATCCCTGATTATGGCAAGCTATTTTCACATTTATTTCTTAAAACAGCCAATATCTACTTTAATGTAACTAGTACCTATTTTTCCATTTTTAAAAAGTAATCCAATAGTGAAGACACTTGTTTTCATATAGTGCTGCTAGTGCTTATTCATTTACTAGTCACGTTTACTTTGCTTTGACAAGTTGCAAATATTAACCATTAAATTTTATGGGAATCTGTGTATTGTATATATTCCAACTGTTGTTGTTACCTTTTTACTAGCACTACAAACAATTACCACACATTACAACAGAATTTGCAATTTGTTATCATTAACAGAGAAATAGTGACTTGTTACTTGGAACAACGGCTAGCAGAAAAAGAATAGATGTAGAGTTACTACTTGAATATGTAGCCTACTAGATGACACTGGAAAAAGTACTAGCATCTGTTTAAAAGTTATTGGTGAAATTAGTAATAAAAATAGATGCTAGTTAGTTTTAAGTAATAAATGTGAAATCGGCTTGCCGTAACATAGATGATTAGAGGGACAGTCACGTTAGGAATCAATTCGCCCACCACTATGCAAATCCATGAATCTATAAACCAGATGTGCCTTAAATGTATTTTCTAGGCAGATTTGGGTAAATGCATGAAAATTGTACTCACTGCAACGCTGGAAACAGCTGAGTCGGGTCTCTCGATCATTGTCCTGTGACAACACCCACTCTGAATCCCAATAGATCAGGCATAAAAAGATGAGTCGACTCAAAAAGGGTCGAGTGCAGAAGCGATGATGAACTCTAACGGCTGATTCGGATTTGGACTAAATGAGTGGATTTTTAAGGGAAGTAAACGTGCACAGAACAAAAACAAGCATGTGAGCATCGGCCGGGGGAAAATGTTACAATGCTGCGAGTGCGAGCATGAAAGGCGATTGTCCTCCTCCTAGAGAATGCAAGCCCTATTGGTCAGCGACTGGCCGCTTGTTATGATGTCATAAAATCCCGCCCACCTTCGATTTTCATTGGATTACTGGATTTTTGCAAAGGATTGTGGTATTTGTAGTGGCGGGCAAAGATGCCGTGTGAAGTTGCCTCGGGAGATGCATACGCAATACTTCAAACACACACACACACACACACACACACACACACACACAATTATGTCAGTATTGTGATCTCATAAATAAATTAATCAATCAATAAATAAATAAAGAGGGAAATCATTTTAATTATCAACAGACTCGGAAGAACAGATTATGAGGCGATTTATATGATCTGTAATGATGTACGTCTGCCCTCTAGTGGAATATTCAAAAAGTAGTAACTTGCAACTTGTCCATATTTATCATCATAATAATATGCTATTCTATTTCCTTTAGAACAGGAATGTTAAAATGTTTGATAACCTTTTGTTCATAAAACAGACCTCATAAATAAAATAAAAAATATCTCACTTGTGATGCAGCCCGACTGAGCCTGGTTTCTCTTAAGTAAAATGTACATCACATCAGTAGCCTATTGACATAATAATATTGATAATGATGAGATCAACACATTTGAATAATACACATCACAATAGTAACTCTCTGAAAGGTTACAGTTCAATACCAATTTTATTTTATTTTTTACTTATTTATGCAAACATGTGTCTAAGTACTTAATGGCCCGTTGGACCCACTTATAGTCAGGGTCCATACAGAATAGATTCTTCTGAATCTCTTCTTTCTTCTGTTTCTTGGAATCTGGAACTGTTACAAATCTAGAGCAGATTAAATCATCAAAAGCATTAAAACTACACGAACGTGAAGTAAATACTAAAGATTAGTTACAATATAAGTGTACATCTAACCATATCGAGAGCATACTCACACAATGTGTTTGAAAGGGCAACTGCTGCTTGTCCAGAAATAAGACTCCAGAAGTTTCAGAGGCATTCTGATATTGATTTCTTTAAAGCAGCAGATACTGTTAACGCTCATTATTGCTTTAGTACCTGAAAAAGTGAATGTGATTCAGCATGTTTTAAAATGTTTTTATTCTCCAGGTTTTTAAAATACAGAGTCAATAAGGGATATCCAACATTTTCAGAAAGAAATAACTAAGAACTATTTTAGATTGTTGAAATGAAGTTTCCAGAAAAGTTTCAATCTGAAGCCTGAAATGCTTTAGGCCTACATCCCGTTCCCGTGACAGAGAACAAATATGACAGAAACAGACACTCACCAGCTGAAGTATTAAGCTGCAGAGCACAGCACAGCATCAGAAACAGTGATGAAGTCTTCATTCTCCAGGTATTATACAGCACACAAGAAGCAGAGAAAGTAAGAACATGTGATGAACTGCCAGCAGCCCTTTATATAGACACGGTGAAATAGTTTTTGTGTAAAAGGAAAGAGCAGCACCACTGGTCTATATTTTTAAGTATAACAAAATTCTGTCTTGAAACCCTCTTTTTCTCTTTATACGAAGGTGTTGTTATGTGCTAAAACTGCATATGAGCAGGGGGAAATTATGGTGGCAATAACCAAAGCAAGCCCCGTGCTTAGTGCCAGAAAGAGTGGTGGATGAAATACCTGAAAGCCACACTTAAGTAAATGTACACATATCTTACCAGAAAATTACTTTGGTAGAAGTTAAAATGACTGTTTAGAATATTACTTAAAGCAGCACTATGTAACTTTTGGCGCTCTTGCGGTTAATAAACAGAACTGCACACATCCCGCGGAAGAACATTCCAACCGGAGCTACTTCTCTAAGTGTATGTCTATGGCGATTCACGCAGGTATGTGTTACTCCGCAGCGGTGACGACCCGACCAGCCTACAATAGTCCAAATATAAGTACTTATTATAAGTGTAAGACAAAAACGCGGTTTGGAAGATGAATTCATGATGTACTCGCTCATTATATACATTTAGCAAATTTTTAACACAGTTTACATAGTACTGGTTTCAGTAAAGGTTTTATGTGATAATTATTGTTGAAAAGTATTTTTTAATGTTAAACATATTGAAAGTAAAAGTACAAGTAAATGCAAAATGGAAAAGGAGCAAATCAATATTAAAAAATGTGTATACACATTTAAAGCAGCAAGATTGTTTTCAGTTTTAACTCCTTCTAACATTTTGTATCTTTGGGTACACTGTCAAAAAAATTCCGTAAAATTTACGGTAAAAAAACGTAAAATTTACGGTAAAAAAAAAACGAATTTTTACCGTAAAAAATACGGTAGCAACGTTTTAGATTTTACGGTTTTAACTTAAATTTACAGTTAAATACCGTAATTTCATTAACTGATATAATGTTAATATACCAAACTGTTGAAGTACTGAAATCTGTTTTGTACCTTTGTAATACACTGACAGCCATCAAATGCAGGCGGTGATGAGAAAGTCACACGATGAACCAAAGCCCATCACAAGCAGCTTTTAAATAATAACATATATAGAAGGTGCACAGTGTCATTCACACAAACACTAAACACCATCATGCAATAAACATTCATTTAACAACATTAGGTGTAACACACAGCTCTAATATACAAAACTAATAAGAAAAAACTAAGAAGAAACATAGTTATTTCAACAAAAAAACATCAAATATGAAATGTAACACAGGGAATTCTGGGAATGTCAATTTACGGTTATTCACTGTAAATTATACGTTCTTTTTCACTTCCAAAAACAGTATACTACCGTAAAATGAATGTCCAATACATGTAATGTCCAATACAGTTTTTCACTGTATATAGTAGGGGCATTTACCATTAACCATTTAACAGGATTTTACTGTAGCATTTTTACAGTCTTTTACCGTTAAATTCACGGTCATTTTTTACAGTGTAAGCATAAGTTCTTATGTTGGCACTTTCATTCCAACATAAGAAAACATTTCTGGAATCTGCATCTGAAGTGGCATATACATCTGTTTAATCATGTAACTCAGAGGTGACATGAATGCATTTAACCTGCAACTAAAATACACATACAAATCGTCAAGTGAATAACAATCAAACATCATAATTCTTCAAAGAAATCATCGCCATGAAACAAACAATCTCCCTTAAAACACAACACTTAAAATTAATGAAGTCCACTCATTTTAAGTTCTTAGGGCTTTGTCCACAAAATGATACCTGGTTTCTAGGCTAGGCCTACACGGCCACAACCTGTCAGCATTGTTTTGTCTGGTTCACAAAAGCAGTTAACAGCAAGTCCTGTCTGGCACCCAAAATCAGTGTTTTACTGTAAGCTTTTTATCAAGTAGAAGAGCAGAAAGCAGGAGACGAAGCTATTGCAAAATTAGCAGAGTTTATTAAGATAATCCTAGCTGTGCTTAAATGCTCTGTCAGCTTCATCTGACCAGCACAAATCCAGCAAGTGTTACTATAGCCTTCCACAATCAATGAAAAATGACTACTTTTACAACATCGTCTCTTGACGTTACCTTTAAATGAAGACGTTCTCTTATGTCTAACGGTTTGATTCATCTGTAATGATGTACGTGTGCCCTTTAGTGGAATATTCAAAAAGTTGTTGCGTCCTATTTTCAAGTAGTAGTAGTAATAATAATAATAATAAAGCCTTTAGAATATTACAGTATTCAATATTCTTTTGTTCATAAAATAGACTTCATAAATGCAATTTAAACAATAATATTTGTAAGACGCTTTTTAGAAAATTTACTTGGAAACAATAATGTGCATCAATGGAAAGAAATAAATCAAAGACTTATTAATATATATATATATATATTTTTTTTAAATATATTAAAACATAAGTAAATACTATTTACACAAAAACTGCTACTTGACACAAATTCCAATAAAATGGTCATCTAAACTGAATAGTCTTGGTAAATGGTCAAAGGCAGACACTTAGATAATAGACAACAAGGCAAATAATATTTGAATAATGCACATGACAATAATAACACTCTGAAAAGTTATTTTACAATTCTAATCATATATGGAGGTGGGGGTGTATCTGTGTAGACAATATCTTCCAAGTTTCATTTTGCTGAATTTGAAGCACTTTTCTTGTCTATGTGCTTCATGGCCCGCTTGACCCAGGCATTTTCAGGGTTTCCACAAAATTGTTTCTTCATAATTGTTACGAACCTAAAGAAGATTACAGACAAAAGCATTAGAACAACATGAATGTGAGTAAATAATAAATGTCAGTGGTTGCCTATTACTTTACAGTACATGCACTTGTGTACTTAGCCGACCTAAGAAAGTACTGGCTAATATAAGGTAATTACATGGGTTATGATTAGGTTTAGGTTCATGGTTAGTACTTAATTATTACCCAGTTATTGAAATTATTATAATAAGTACATAGTATGTACATACGGAACGGGACTGTACAATTAACTGCTAGCATGTTAATAATATAGGTGTACATCTAAACATGGGGGATACTCACACAGTGTATTTGAGGGGGCAAATTCTACTTGTCCAGAAATAAGACTCCAGCCGATTCAGAGGTATTTTACTGGTTTCATTAAAGCAGCAGATACTGTTTGCCATGTCATTTGACATTGTGTCTGAAAAGGTTTTTAAATACAGATTAAATTAATTAATTAGATTAAATACAGGTTATCTAATATTATCAGAAAGAGATTTAAAAACTGTTTTAGTTTGTTATTAAGTTTCCCTTAAGATTCCTCTTTAAAAGATTAAATCTGAAGCCTGAAACTTTTACATTCTATGACAGAAACAGACACTCACCAGCTGAGGTAAGTTGCAGAGCACAGCACAGCATCAGAAACAGTAATGAAGTCTTCATGAAGGTCTTCATTCTCCAGGTATGATACACCACATGAGAGACAGGGAGAGTGAACGCATGTGGTGAACTGCCAGCAGTCCATTATATAGTGACAGTGAATTAGTTTTCATGTTGAAAGAAATCCCCTATGCTTATTCTCTGGACCAGTGACATAGCCTTTTCTAAGTACAAAACAACACTGTCTTTGAACCTTCTTCCTCTTTATGTAGAGGTGGTTTTAAATATGCTAAAATAATGCATTTGACGTAAATATCCTACTTCTGTTCACAAAAGTCTTCAGTTTCCCTTAAGATTCCTCTTTAAAAGATTAAATCTGAAGCCTGAAACTTTTACATTCTATGACAGAAACAGACACTCACCAGCTGAGGTAAGTTGCAGAGCACAGCACAGCATCAGAAACAGTAATGAAGTCTTCATGAAGGTCTTCATTCTCCAGGTATGATACACCACATGAGAGACAGGGAGAGTGAACGCATGTGGTGAACTGCCAGCAGTCCATTATATAGTGACAGTGAATTAGTTTTCATGTTGAAAGAAATCCCCTATGCTTATTCTCTGGACCAGTGACATAGCCTTTTCTAAGTACAAAACAACACTGTCTTTGAACCTTCTTCCTCTTTATGTAGAGGTGGTTTTAAATATGCTAAAATAATGCATTTGACGTAAATATCCTACTTCTGTTCACAAAAGTCTTCTTATTAAAATGAACTCCTATACAGTTGCCTTATATTCGGCCTACTGTTCTGCTGTTGAACCTTTACTGTTCATTCATTAGCATCTGTTTGGATATAAGTGAAAATACATGCTCTGAGTTTAACTTTAATTCTAATATATGTATTATATTACTTTGACTGTATAACACCTGGAGCAAACAACGTGTTACATGCCTCTTTAACACCACAGTCATTTACACTGCATAGAAATCTGTTGCTGTTTCAAATATGCTTAATGGACTGCTATTGTCCTTTTTTGATAAAGGATTTTATTGTTTTAATGATGGCCTAAACAGCCCATAAAAGTTTCAAAAATGTGCCTGTTTTTGTCGGTATTGTATTATAATGCAGATTGTAAATAATTACCATAACAGATCAATTACTATTTTTCATTCTTAAAATATGAGCTGACTGGGTAAACAACCATTCTCTTATCTACCATACTTGAACAAACTTACAAGTAATTCCTGGGAAGAAGTATCCTC